TTTCAGAGAGGGAGAGAGAGAGAGAAACATCAATGGTGAGAGAGAATCATTGATTGGCTACCTCCTGCATGTCCCCCACCAGGGATTGAGCCCGCAACCTAGGCATGTGCCCTTGACTGCAATTGAACCTGGGACCCTTCAATCCACAGGTCAACACTCTATCCACTGAGCCAAACTGTCTAGGGCTCAATTTTTTTTTTTTATAGAAAGGAGAAATGACCTACTTCATTTATTTGGTTGTTGTATGGCATTAAGCACAGGGCCTGGAATGTAGACAATACTCAAATATGAATTATTGTTGTTAATATCACTATTTCTATGTGCAAGTCCTTGTGTGAATAGAGATAGATATATATTTTTTAAAAAGCTTCCCTTTCCTCCTGGACTGTTGGATATAATGGGGAGGACAGACTTATCAACAGTTAGGGTGGCCAACTCATCCCAGGAAATCTTTGGTCCAGACAAACTGGGACAATTGATCACTGTACAATAGGTATGCACTTGGCAGAATGAATCTGGTTTCATAAAAGACTTACAAGCAATGTCACAGGAGAGGACAGACTAAATGGGGGGCCTGGCAAAGCATTCTAAAGAAGGTAACATTTAAGCTTTTCAGTATAATATTCGGATTTCAATAGAATACACTACCCAAAAAAAGTACTTCAGCATGAAAAGTGTGAACAAAGACCCTGAAGTGTGAAGAGCAGGACACATTCCAAAGGTGTAAAGCAGTTCCCCAATTAATACTCATGGCACTGTGCTCCTTTCTTTCCTTCAAAATACATCACAATTTGTAATTCAATATTTATGTGTTTGTTTCATATTTTTAAGCTTCGGTAGGACAGGGACAAGGTCTGTCTTGTTCAGTCCTGCATGGTGACTGCATATACAAGGCACTCCATGAATATTTACCCAGTGAGTATATGTGCAAAGCATATAAAGTCATGCCCCCAGAGTGCTGTATAAGTCAAAAGGATGCCTTCTATGAAACCAAAAGGTAATTTTTAAAGCTACTCATAGTCTTGCCCTGGCCAGTGTGGCTCAGTTGGTTGAGCATCATCCCATGCACAGAAAGGCAGCCACTTCAATTCCCGGTTAGGGCACATTCCCAGGTTGTGCGTTTGATCCCAGTTGGGGTATGTGAGGGAGGCAACTGACCGACGTGTGTCTCTCTCTCTCTCTCTCTCTCTCTCTCTCTCTCTCCACCCCCCTCCTCACTCTCTAAATAAACAAATAAAACTATGCACAGTCTTTATTTGTAATTCTTTACACCCAGAATAGAATACAGAACCACCAATCATTCCCTTAAAATACTTTGCTTTCTTTCCCATCCATCTCTCAGTCATTCTCACAAACTGCAGCCCTTAAAGAACCCTAGGGCCCTGGCCTCCATCCCCCTGTATTGGCCTGTCTTCCTGCCTCCCAGTTTCCTCCCAGTTCTCCATCACAAAAGGCCAAAGACTGCTCTGGAGAGAAGGGCCTCAGCTCAGAGAGCCAGGAAGGGAGGAAACTGCAAACCAGGTTCAAGGGCAGGGAGAAGGAAAGCTATGGGTGCTCATGCCATCACATTGGAATATACAGTATTGTCAATGTAAGAAACATCCAAACCTGTAAAGAATTTTTATAAGATTTTATTTGAGCCAAACTGATGACAATTGCCAGGAAACAAGATCTCAAATGCTCAGGAAAAGGACAGTTTGGCAGGTGTTGTTTTTTTTTTTTTTTGGTGTGTGTGTGTGTGTGTGTGTGTGTGTTTTAATGCATTTGAGATAAAGGGAAGGCGGGAAGGGAAGAAAGATTACATAAAGGTGGGAGAAAGCAAGGCAGGGATTGGATTACAGGATAGTTAACAAGATTACAGTAGTATTTGCTTTCCTAGAGTGGTTAACCTTATTGCAAAGGTGTGTTATCTTGGATGCCCAAAAAACAATGGATGGGCCTTGCTTAAGGCAAAGATAAACCTTTTACTAAAAAAGTTATATGCCTTCCCAGGCCAGTGTGGTTCAGTTGGTTGAAGCGTCATCCATACATTGAAAGGTGGCAGGTTCGATTCCCAGTCAGGCCACATACCAGGTTGCAGGTTTGATCCCAGGTTGGGGCACCAACAGATCAATGTTTCTCTCTCTCTCTCTCTCTCTCTCTCTCTCTCTCTCTCTCTCTCTCTCTCTCTCTTTCCTTCCCTCCCTCTTGAGGTTTCTCTCTGAAGTCAATAAAAATTGTTTTAAAAATAAAAAGTTGCCCTAACCGGTTTGGCTCAGTGGATAGAGCGTCGGCCTGGGGACTGAAGGGTCCCAGGTTCGATTCCGGTCAAGGGCATGTACCTTGGTTGCAGGCACATCCCCAGTGGGGAGTGTGCAGGAGGCAGCTGAATCAATGTTTCTCTCTCATCGATGTTTCTAACTCTCTATCCCTCTCCCTTCCTCTCTGTAAAAAAATCAAAATATATTTAAAAAAATAAAAATAAAAAATAGAAAATAAAGTTATATGCCTGAGGTGTGACTACCCATTCTAGCCTGCCCAGTTAGGAATTTATGATCAGATCACCCTGTGAGATTATTTTCTATAGAACCCCTTTATAGTAATCAATATGAATTAATTAATTAACACACCATATTCTTAGTTGTTTATTTACCTATTTCCTGAGATGTCCTGGGTGCTCAATAAATATCCACTGAATGAGTGATTAGTAAATAGTCAGGGTATCTGGCAGGTTGCAGCAAGAAATACAGCTAGAAAAGTTGGAAAGGGCTAGTTCAGAAAGACCCTGCTTAGGTAGGTGAGTTTCATTTTGTAGATATAGATATATTCCAAAGTTCTCTGTCTGTCTATATCCTATATAATAAAAGCCTAACATGCAAATTAACCAACCAGCAGAACGACCAGTCTCTATGACAAGTACTGACCACCAGGGTGCAGACGCTCAATGCAGGAGCTGCCCCCAGCCCGCAGGCCCCGACCAGCCACGACGGTGGGGAGCAGGGAGCAGGGGGGGGCCGGTGA